ACAATACTAAACTGTTTTCTTTTGCCGAAAGTTCTGCTTAAAAAGTCGAAGAAATGTGCCTAAAACATCTTTCTATCCTCAGTATGAAAGGACACGAACCTGATGGTTTGCAAATAGAGGAAAAACTTCCCCAATCGAAACGCCATTTTTTCGCTTTGTGAAACGAGCTGCGCGGCGCAGTTTAAACCGGATGTGACGTCACTTTTTGGTGGATGATCCAGATACGCAAATTTCAGGAGTCTTCTGCCCCGCCCCTGGTCATCGGGCGAAACGACCTGATACCGTATGGAATGCCATCCCTAAGGCTTCATCCTTGCTTGCAGCTGCTTAAAGAAGACTTAATAATGCCTCCAGGTCTCTCGACCATATCCAATTTTTAAAAGAGGTTTGTGTGATTAGTTCTTAAAAGCCGGATTTTTTATAGTATTAAGATTTTCTTTCTGTGTATATTATTTAATAGGTTAGTTTAAAAATTTAATAGCAGGTCCACATCGGCCCTAAGATTATTGTCATATTGAGACCTAGTCTTATCAAAAGCATACATCCCTGGTGACACAGGCTCAGTTACTTGTCGTAGAAGTCTTACGCTTTGGATATTTATGGGACACTTCGCAGGGTAATTACCCTCTGCTGGTTCCAGAGATTTTGAAATTTTGTGAACTCACAGTTTTTATATTCCCAGGTACGTGTACTGAGGTTTGTTAGCGGTGGGAATTGAGAGAAACGGTGGGAGATTCAAGCACTATCCAGGTCCAGTTTTTGGGAGACTGAGCTTCTGAATTTTGGATAGCACTCTCTTTGAGACCTTACTTTGGGCTGCGCAAGGATATAATTCATGGTAGGACACATAAAGGCTTAGTTTTCTTTTACTCACTGGCGTTTGCTTGCGCTTAGCATTTACATACTGTTTGTTTGCGATTAGTATTTATTTACTGCTGTTTGCTTGCGGTTAGCATTTAAGGTGTGAAGGGGATGGTGACCAAATGTGTCCTAACATGAATCATATGCCGCGCAAGGTCAGCGCAACGTACGGTTTTGTAAAACGTTTCTTTTTTTTGCTAAACTATATTCTGCGAGCAGAATAGTGTGTTCATTGTCACGCAATGAAAAATGAAATCAAAACATTTAGTGGATCAAGTCAAGAAATTGTGATATTTTAGACGTTAAATAAAGAAGACAGTTCTCCAAGTTTAAGGTGTGTGCGTTGTCCCAAAGAGATATTCGTCGAAATGTTCCGCGCAAAATTGTAGAGCCTACAGTAGTATGGAGCCGTCAGGTTGGTCGACCTCCTTACCTCCAATATGGCGGCCGGAAAATAGTGTATAAACATCTGGAACTTACTTTGGCTATCTAGTCGACTGGTCTTCTGAACTGAGCCAAAAAACATTTACAGAAGGACTTTTCCTAATATTTTAATACCTAAAATGGCTAAAAATCAAGAGATAAGTGTATATTTTTCGACAAACGCGATCTTAGCTTTATGTCACGCAACGCCATAACTCCGAAATTCAAAACGCGCTTGGTTTGTACTGAATATTTGTTTTGATGAATACGAACTACCATGATTCCCTGCAGGTGCGTCTCACAGAGAGAATTAGCCATTTTAAAAATATACAAAATCAAGAAAGTTAGCTCATGTTGGAATTCAAACCTGGTGCTTACCACTTTTCACCTCAATCTCGTAACAACAGTCTCCTGTAAAGGACGGTGCCTACTAAATACAAAGTATCATGCGGGAAAAGTAGATATTTGCAAGGACTGTTGGAATCCACATAGAAAAATGGAGGTAGCCACGCATTTTTTCGCGATAATTAACCTTGAATCTCAACAAAAATGCTGACATCAGCATTTTTCTTAGAATTCGCCATTACATACAGAAAAGCAAACACATTTATAAAGATCCTAAAACTACATGGTAAATGGTAACATAAGAACCATTTTTGGTATGTTTTTAATAACAAAATCGTTCCAACAAAGCTTTTATCGTCTCTGACAGCCTTCTTTTTGTTCAGCTAAATCACAGTCTAAATAGCTTTTTCTCCCATCTAGAAACTAATCACAAGTTGAATAGGCTTGCTAATTCCATTTCATAACATAAAATGTTGGGGTAACCACGTTTTTAAAGTTATTCATCTTTTTTGAAAACTTTTACGGTGCCCATTACATTTTTTCCTGTCACCTCCCCTGTAAGTGAAGCATTTGCATCTCTCGCACTTGTTCTGCGTGTGCAATACGCTATCTGCAGGTACATGTTTACAGTTGGATTTCAGTTTAACTTTTCACGGATAACAGCTAGTTTTTCAGCTGGAAGCTGTTAACAGTTAGTGGTTAGTGATACATTTGTATTCTGGTATTCCTGATTTTAGTATAGGTTCATTTAACTTGATTTGGTCACAGTGGGAAGTGATAAGTTAGGGAACGTAATATATTTAATTGCAAATTAATAGTTTTTCTAAGTCACATGAAAACTCAATCTCATACTTGTGCTGATACCAATAAAAGGTCTTGAGCTGGCCTTCAGGTCGAACTGATGGTGAAATATTAAGTTGATGATAGAATTCCTGCAACTAATCACATGGTGGATATGTGAGGACAACAAACTGGGGGGGGGGGGGGGAACTTTGGGAATTTCTGGGTGGGGATGTGCCGCTGGGACCCTGGAACCCTTACCCTATACCAGAGCTAGTTCAGCTGAATTTTGCTACCCTATACTAGAGTAAACTCTCCAAATNGGGGGGGGGGGGGTACTTGAATGCTTTCAAAAAATGACTTTAACCGCTAAAGGAAACCTGTCACAGGTAGTTAGTTGCAAATGTGCTGACTGATGGAACTCTACTTCAAAGGTTGTGTAGCAATAAATTAAAGATATAACATTTTTTGTTAAAATTCCTGATTATAGCAGCAAAATGCACAGAGCAAGTCTTCTTCAAAACTTAAAGAAGATCCAAAGCTGTGGATCTGGGTTGTCCTCCTCTTCGCAACACCATGCTAAGTTCACATGGCTACCAGCTGCCACGTCACAGTATAACTTCTCCACACACACAGGAAGTAGTGACACTGAAACTACAACTTGGTCAAGTGCATCCCACTTTAGCCGTCTGTCAACTCAAGAGCTGGTCCTTGGTTACAAGCCACCTATTGCAGAGTGGCTATTCCTACCTGGATCATCATCTGGGGGATTTCCTGAATTTCTTCCTGGACCTAAAGAGGGCAGTTTATTTCCTACAGCTCACAAGGTAAACAACCCAGAACAATTTGACATCAAAGCTTGGTCACATGTATGCCGGGAGCTGGTTGACACAGAACTTGCATCGTATGGTGCAATACTTATCAGGTAACACATAATTTCACCTTATGACTTTCTTGTGGATATTTCACACGTTTTGTAGTTTTGCAAGGCAAGGAAAAAATAATTAAGCCAGAAATAATTTTTAAATGTTCAGTGTAATCAAACCTCAAACAAAAAAAGCCTCTGAAGGAGGGGTATGAATATTTTCCAGAACAATACAACCTAAGGTAAACTTCGCAACAGGGTTTAAAATTTAGATGAACAGAAAGTTGGTTAGAGTTCAAAGTAATTGGCAACAATGGCAGCTGTAGATGTAACAACATATAATTTATTTGAACCACAAAAAATGTAATATTTATTATTGACATTACTTCAGGAATCTACCACTCTTCAACATGGAAGATTTCAAAAGTTTTCTCTCCAACCTTGGCTACAGATTTTTTGAACATGGAGTGACTGGTTATAGGACCCCACTGGGTGATCATGTTTACACAGCCTCTGATGACCCCCCTGAGGTTACTATGGAACCACACAATGAGTGCTCATACTCACCTTTCTTTCCCAAAAAGGTACATGTAAAGTTACTCTGGTATCCAGGAATTTTATTAAGGGCCAGGCAGCAGGAAAAGTGACCGTCTGTGAGGCTGATTTTGCCTGCCTGGTTTGACCATCTGGAGAAACATTTTTGTGATCAAAAAGAAATATACCAAACATGAAAGATTGTGTGACCACATTTCCAAACATCACGAGAGTGAAAAATAGGAAGCTTAGTGTGAAAAAAAGTTGTAATAAAATTATGATCTAATATTAGATTACCTTGGTTTCACATGACCTGTAGGGAAGTCTAACAAAGCTCGTTTTCTTTAGATAATAATGTTCTGCCTAAAAGAACCAGACTCATTCTGTGGTGGTGAAACTGTACTATTAAAAAACCAAGATCTCACCGCCATCTTAGATCCAGAGGTAATTAGCAAGTTTGAAGAAAAGAAAGTTCGTTATCAAGCTTTTCTGCCAAACAAAACCACAGATGCTGGGCTACAGAAGAGCTGGCAAGACAGATTTTGTTGGAAGATGCTCAGGTCTGTATGAATTGGTTTTATTATGTTGTAACACCAATGAAACATCAGAAAAAAAAAAATGATATCTTTACATGTGAACAGGTCATCATGACTACGGATACATAATAAATTGTACCTTTTGTAGCAAAAGTGATTAGAAATGGTCTGGTATTTATTTCATTTTGTTATTGAAAAATATTTCATTCATTTGCTGCGCTCACTTGTGATGTATATTTTGTAACACTCTAAGAGAAATTTCCTATCTCTGTGCAGCCATGCAATTTCCTCTGTTTATTTTATAATTTTCTTAATCATTATTTACCAATTTTGTGGAGGTATGGTTTAATACACCAGGCAGTGGAAAAGATTCTTGAATCTAATGGATGGAGCTTTTCTTGGGACCAAAATAAAAATCTGAGATTCTGGTACCTCCACTCACCTGTCATCCCTCACCCAGTGACTGGAGAGAAGATATGGTTTAATCAAATAACAAGTTATCATGCAAGCTACTTCAGAGCTCTCCCTCTATACAAGAATGTCACTATTGCAGATGATGAGTTCCCTTTTCATTCCTACTATGGTGATGGATCAGTGATTGAGCCAGCAGTCATTCAGCATATTCGTGCAGCTATGTGGTCATGTGCAATGGGGTTTCGCTGGCAAACATTTGACATAGCTGTGTTGGATAATCAACAGGTTTTACATGGAAGGATGGGGTGGACTGGGGAGAGGAAACTAGTGACTTCACTGATTGATGAGTGAACTTAGCAGAAAGTTTATTAGGATGTTCAGCCTTACCACCCATTACAGTATTTTAGACTTCATAATTTTTATAAGTGAGGCTTTTATTATCCACAGCAGATTTTTAAATTCACATATAGCTTTTTACCTTTTAATGATGAAAATAGAGTCCCATAATATCTATTTGGGATTAAAAAAACTTTCATCTGTTCAAAATAGCGGCTGTCCAATATAACTCATTATTTTACACAATAAATTATAGACATATTGAACAATTTGCATTTGCAATTTTGAATAACAATAATTTCTCAATATTCGTAATAGGAATTGGATCAAGTACAATAACATTATTATTATTCTGCATGCTTGTTTGATTTTGTAATTAGTCATCTGATTACTTCATGAATTCAGAGGTTCAATTAAGCACTAATTTAATCATATCTGCACTGACAAATTATGGGTTAAAAAGTCATGAAATGTTTTCCATAAGTTTTACAAACAGTAGGGAAACATTAACAAGAAAGCCATTTAAGCACATGATATACTGACTTGCAAATGGCATTGCTGTCCAATTGCAAGTATCTGGTTACAAAAAGTTGTATTCAGATACCTGTAATTGGACACCCATGTGATTGCAAGCCAATCAAGTGACAAACAGGCACACACAGAACCAATCACAATCAAGAATTATTATTAATTCAAGCCTTTTTCATTGCATTTGCCAAGTTTAAGTTCAACATTGCCACCTCTGTGATGTTCAATGAAAATGTTACTGTCATCACATAGATATCACAAGCTTTGCTGTCAGTGATTCTGTGAATAAAAACAAAGTCTGTCTTTCCACAAGCAAAGGAATTTTAAAAGTTGTTAGCACTGTTTCAATCCACCAATCTCAATAGAGAAATGTTTCTGTGGAGATTGTTGACTTGCCAACACCAAAAACCACTCATGAAACAAGCTCCTAAACACTGGATGTTGAATCAGTGGCTGATTAAAGTTTTGTTTTTTCAAAGCATGCTGCCACATCCATTGCAGTTTTTTCAAGATCCACTCGTTGAAGATTTACCAATAATACTACAACCACTCCTTTAGGAGGTTTATTGTAAACATGATGTGGCCTGATCAGCAAAATACTGCTAGCTCCAACTGCACCCCCTGGAAGAAAACAGCTTTATAAATAAGAAGTTATAACCATAATAAAGACACACATTCAGTGCTTTTTTATGAATGTTACTCAAGTTAAATGAAATGAGTATCATTTTGCTTAGAATGAGTCATAAATTAATTATGACAATAAATTCACATTTCATTTTGTTAATGGTGTATTTTGGTTACATGGGTTGCTAAAGCAAAAGGACACAAAAAAATGTACTTGACTCCACAATGTTCCATGACTGCAGAAGTACAGGCATCTAGTTTGCACTAGTTAATAATTGATTGGTGCTTAAACATGCATTAGAGTTATGATGCACTAAGGAAGTTTGAAAAAGCATAAAAGAAATGAAAGCATTGCTCAAGGCACAGCCTGGTGCATTCAGAAGCTCCAGCTTCTTGTGCTCTCCAAACTTCCCAATGATGCACAGCTAACTTTGCCAATGGAACTAAATTCTCTGGCATAGTGAAGGTATGGTTCAGATGCCATGAGTGTGCATCATTTCAATGATTCATTGGATTATGATGCTCTCACATAATTACACTGCATTTGATAATGCAGCTTGGCTAGCTAGGTAATAAAGAGGAATCAAAAGTAAAGGTGTCATTGCTATAAGCATAGTCAAACCTCTTGTTTAAATAATTAATGCCAGGTCTAAATTTTCAAAACTTTAAGGTGGATCTAATACCTATGTACAGATTTCTTTAAAACTTTGTCAAAAGTTGCATCTTATCATGCATATTAAAATTTGATAATATAAAAAATTTCACTGTGCCGTTTTTGAATTACAAGCCCATAAAGCTTTAATTAAGGGTGTTTTTAGCAGGTCATACTGTTGCTATGGTAACCTATTGTGTCACGAAAATGATAACAACGTGTTCACTAATGATTGGGCAGTTTTTTGATACCATGACTGTAGCACAAAGTGATAAAGAGTGGTTATAATTCAGGACCCACCAAAATCTTACTGCTGGAAACTGTTTTGAGCCACCCTTCTAGAGGTGGTGGCTTAATAGAGGTTTGACTGTAATTAGAATGAGTAACTCCAGTTTCCAGAGCATGTAGTGACTAAGACTACTTCTCTAGTATGAGGTAAAGTCATCTGCATATGAGTCAAGTGGCCCATCAGGCCGGTGCTTATCCCGGGTTCAGTTGCATGAAACAACTAGGAGTATTTCTCCCCCCTGGATGGGATGCTAGTCCCTTGTAGGGTTATCCCCCAACATTAAGTTTGCTGGTACCCATTTATACACCTGGGTGGAGTGGCACTATGAAAGTAAAGCATCTTGCCCAAGACACAACACAATGTCCCCAGCCAGGACTCAAACCTGGACTGCTCGATTTGCAGTGTCCTAACCATTACAAGCTACTCCCACACCCACTTATGCACAGGGGTGAAAAGATAGGCATTGGCCAGGTTTGAATCTTGGTCTCCATCCAAGGACAAACATGGCACACCATCACCCATTGTGCCTCCCACATCCCTGCCAAGCACCCCTTTCAGCACAGCTTGTATGTTATACACAACTACACCAATTTCAACTCAGCAGGGCTGGAACAGAGAACCCATCGTGTACTAACAAGTCCGTTGTGAGAGGGGTTTAAATAATCCTCTCAAACTCATTAATAATTTATCAAGTTTAAATAAAGGAAATCATGACTGTAACCATGTTTGGATATATGATCTTAATTAGCATAGATTTTTTTATTTTAATTCTTTGTTTTCTCCTTAGTTTTGGTTTCGATTGAGAAGATACATCATATATCAAACACTCAAGATAGTGTTCGGCCACAATTCCAAACACCCCGAAGCTTGTCCAAGATACTCAACTGCGCGTTGTATTTTTAACTCTCTTCTTGGTGTTTTGGATGTGTGGTCAAACACTGTCTTCATGTTTGATATATGACATCTAGATTTAAGGTATGTAAACTAAGAAACATACCAGTATGAAATACAGTTTCTGATTGATGATAGCAGCTGCCAAAATCCTGTTTTTTGGGAATGACAACCCAGCCCAGTCCATAGCCACCATCTTTGTGACCTTTACCTTCTGTGTTGGTCACAATTTTCCAGAGTTCAGTTACAGTTTCAGGTCGAAGAAATCCAGGAAGATATCCTGGAGAGGAATGCAAACAGGATACTTTGTAATGGAAGTGTTTTAAATTGTATATCCACTCTTAAATCCACCTAAACTGTTGACAGGAAGCTTAGTATAGTGATAACAGTTAGTGACCATGAATAATAAGAATTATAAAATACTTGACACCCACGAAAGTCATACCAACGAGTTTCTGCCAACAGGTCAGATGCTGTAACACTTTATTCTGTAAACAATGGAGTGGCAGAGAGAGGATTGCCAAGTTAAAGGAGTGGGGAATGCTCACCAGAAAAATTAAAATTAAACAGCCAAAAGCAGACTAGTTAATCTAGGAATGAATCAAGCTTTCTTTGACCACTACAAGATACCATTCTTAACGCAAAAAGAGCCATAGTGGCAGTAACTTAAATTATGATAAAGATATCCTCATCAAATACATTTGTCTACCAAGAAATGTTAAAGATTTCAAGCCAATTCAGTCTAACAACCCTATAAGATACCTTGATAGCTAAAATCGTTAGTATCCCTTCCTTACCACCCCAACTGATAACAAATCTCCAGCTTACATGCCTATAACAGATCACAAGTACCCCTACACTGGAAGCACAAGAAATTGAAGTTTCAGCCAGTATTATATAAGATTTTACTGTCACGCCAGTAAAATATAGTTAATGGAGCGTGACGTACGTTCTGAATGAGCCGTTCATGGCGGCATCACTTTCTATAGAGCTATTGAGCAGTTATATTCCAAAGGTCAACAAACTGTAAGCGTTATTGTAGCTAAACCTTAAACATTGTAGCTTTGTTATCTTCTGAACGTTATAACGTACCATAGCATTGGTGCAAAGCATTAAAGCACTATTCATGTTTAAGATGTTACACGTGTTA